CCTTGGGCTGGTTTGTCTGAGGACCCGAGGTCGTAAGTGGATCTCCTCATGGAGTGGGGGCCAGGACAGGAGGTCAGTCTCCTGAAGGAGTCCTCCTGTCCTGGGTCTCACCAAATGTCATGCACGTCCGTGTGAAGAGACCACCAAACAGGTTTTGTGTGAGCATCAAGGCTGCTTATTTTACCTGGGTGCAGGCAAGCTGAGTCCAAAAAAGGAGTCAGCAAAGGGAGATAAATGAGAGGCAGTTTTATAGACTGGGGTAAGCAGTGGAAAGTTACAGTTAAAGGTGGTTATCTATTGTCAGCAGAGGAGGGAGTCACAAGGTGTATGGTGGGGAGATCATAAGACTCATTGTCCAGAAGAAGAATGTCATGAGGTTGATCCATCAATCAGTTGGGACAGGACAGAAACAAGTCATAATGGAATGTCGTAAGGTTGGTCAATCAGTTAAGACAGGAGCTGTTTCACTTCCTTTGTACTTTTCGGTTGCCTCAGGCCATCTGGATGTATACATGCAGGCTTGAGCTCAGAGGCCTGACGCCCAGTGTCTGTTGTTCTTTGTGTTTTAGTAAATATTTTACTGATATTTGATCCTGCTGGTTGTGAAAATTTACACGTTCTCATGTTAGTAAACATGGCTACCTTCCTCTTTGACACCTGCATGGAAATTGGCTGAATGACATGTGGGTCCTTTGTGACTTTTCTTTGTATAGTGTCATAGTCACTGCCTCTGTGCTCGCCTGCATTACTGCCAATATCTGAGGATTCCTCCAGGGAAGGCTGTTAAAAGAGTGATTGCTTGTAGGATGGGTAATCTGCTGCTTTCTTAGAACTGAACAGATTCCCCCCTGCCCCCAACTGCCAAAATATCCTTTTCCACCAAGATGAGATTCCTCTTCAATTAAACAAAACTTGCTACTTTATATATATATATATATATATATATATACACACACACGTACATATTTTGAAAATCTGGGGAAAATGACAACCCTTTGCATTCAACTCTAGTTTTTTGTGAGTCTGTGTATATTTTATTATTTTGTGGATATATATTCACAAAATGTTTGTTTGTACTTTGAGTAATTTTGTTTTCATGTATTTTGAGATGGGGCCTCACTTTGTTGCCCAGGCCTTCCAAGCAGCCGGAACCATAGATGCCTGCCACCATGCCCAGCTAAATTTTTTAATTTTTTATTTATTGATTTATTTTTTGAGATGGAATTTCTGTTGAACAGGCTGGAGTGCAGTGGTGTGATCTTGGATTACTGCAACCTCTGCCTCCCAGGATCAAGCAAGTCTCCTGCCTCCTGTGTAGCTGGGATTACAGGCATGAGCCATTGAGCCCGGCTGACATTTCACTGTGAATATTGTCATCTTTGAAGGCATTACTCATGCTCTATCTCATCTAGATACTGAGTGTCACTTGGTGTGTCAATAAAAATTTCTAACATTTCTTTTTTATTTTCTTTTTGAGACGGAGTCTGTGTTGCCCAGGTTGGAGTGCAACTGTGCGATCTCCGCTCACTGCAACCTCCACCTCCCGGGTTCAAGCAATTCTCCTGCCTCAGCCCCCTGAGTAGCTGGGACTACAGGCATCTACCACTATGTCCAACTAATGCTTGTATTATTTTTTTTTTTTTTTTTTTTGAGACGGAGTCTCGCTCTGTCGCCCAGACTGGAGTGCAGTGGCCGGATCTCAGCTCACTGCAAGCTCCACCTCCCGGGTTCACGCCATTCTCCTGTCTCAGCCTCCCGAGTAGCTGGACTACAGGTGCCCGCCACCTTGCCCGGCTAGTTTTTTGTAGTTTTAGTAGAGACGGGGTTTCACTGTGTTCACCAGGATGGTCTCGATCTCCTGACCTCGTGATCCACCCGTCTCAGCCTCCCAAAGTGCTGGGATTACAGGCTTGAGCCACCGTGCCCGGCCTGCTTGTATTTTTAGTAGAGACAGAGTTTCACCAGATTGTCCAAGCTAGTCTCAAACTTCTGACCTTGTGATCCACCTGCCTCAGCCTCCCAAAGTGTTGGGATTACAAGTGTGAGCCACCGCACCTGACCAAAAGTTTTTAACTTTTCTATAATGGGAACCAGGCATTTATTATTTATTTGAGCGTCTCTTGTATTCTTCACAAACATAAGAAATTTATACCGAGAGGGTATTATGACCTGTTTAAAAAGTGTAATCAAACACCACTGGGAAGACATCATGTGGTGAAAAATCCCACACTCAGATTTGTCAGAACATTCACTACAATTAAATCCTTGTTGTCACCACTCTCCTCTTCTCACTTCTGTAAAGATAAGAACTCCTCCCATAACCATTTGGTTAAAATGTGTTTTCATTTCAGGGTCTACTGACATTCAGGGATGTGGCCATAGAATTCTCTCAGGAGGAGTGGAAATGCCTGGACCCTGCTCAGAGGACTCTATACAGAAACGTGATGCTGGAGAATTATAGGAACCTGGTCTCCCTGGGTGAGGAAAACTGCCCTCCAGAGGTGGGGGTGCACCCTTGCATATCTTTGTATTTTCTCCAGTTGTCTCCTGGGAGCCCCATCCTTGCTTGACTAAAATGGAAGCTGTATTGATTTCAAAATGAAAAGCGTCATGATGTAGCATCTGGACTTTAACTGTGCCCTTTGTTTAGATGTTCTGCTTTCTTCATGATAGTTCAGTGGGGTTTCCAGAAGTAAAGTAGGCTTAAAACCTTATGGCTGGCAAGGCATGGTGACTCATGCCTGTAATCTGAGCACTTTGGGAGGCCAATGCTTGTGGATCACTTCAGGTTAGGAGTTCGATACCAGTCTCACCAACATGGTGAAATGTCGTGTGGTGGCACACGCCTGTAATCCCAGCTACTAGAAAGGCTGAGGTAAGATTATCACTTGAACCTGGGAGGCAATGGTTGCAGTGAGCTGAGAACACGCCACTGCACTCCAACCCTGGCAACAGAGCGAGACTCTGTCTCAAAAAACTAAAACAAAACCTTATGGCAGACTTTAAAGATATCCAGATTTCTGTTTGCTACTCCTGTGCTTTCAATTCAGTAGTTCTTGGAAGAGAGCTTGATGTCCACATATTACAATGCTCTTTAAGGATTCAGAATAAGGCAGGCAATGGAGGAATTTGAAATATTTTCCTAGGTTCATCTGTAATATTTTCTTTCCTACAGAAACGTAGGGCTGGGGCTCTAGAAAAGCTCCAACATGTCATGTTTCCTACTTTTTATAAGCAGGAGTCTCTTTCTGACCTGTTGGAGCAAGGCAAAGAGCCCTGGACTGTGTAACGTAAAGTGAAAATAGCAAAAAAATTCAGATGGGTGGGGATTATTTTATTATTATTTTTTTGAGCCAGAGTCTCACTCTGTCGCCCAGGCTGGAGTGCAGTGACACGATCTCAGTTCACTGCAACCTCCACCTCTTGGGTTCAAGCAATTCTCCTGTCTCAGCCTCCTGAGTAGTTGGGACTGCAGGCACATGCCACCACACCCAGCTAATTCTTGTATTTTTAGTAGAGACGGGATTTCACCAGTTTGGCCAAGATGGTCTCCTTGTGATCCACCTGCCTCGGCCTCCCAAAGTACTGGGGTTACAGGCATGAGCCACCGTGTCCGGCTGGGAATGTTTTACAGATGTAAACACAGATAAGAGGTCAGATGGGCAGAGTGGAAGCTCCATCTTCAAATAGTGTGTGGGGAGACTCTTTGCAAGTGAGAGAATTCTGTGGGAAAAGCATCATTTAAATCCTGAGATCTCTGGACATACTTCTTTGCCCCACTTATCCCTCTGCTTGCTCTTTTTCTCTTTTCTTTTTACAGATATGCACCACCACCACACCTGGCTAATTTTTGTATTTTTAATAGCGACGAGGTTTTGCCATGTTGGCCAGATTGGTCTCGAACTACCAACCTCAGGTGATTTACCCGCCTCAGCCTCCCAAAGTGCTGGGATTACAGGGGTGAGCCACCGCGCCTGTGCCCTGTGCTCTTGAGACGTGTATTAGTTTGACCTTTTGTCCTCTAGTGATGCTGCAGCTCAGAGACAAAGGCACAGTCTTTATCCTGATGAGCAGCACCCTGTCATCTGGCTTCCGTCACCTCTTTGGTTTCTTGACTCTGCAGCACAGGGAGGGCTGTGCCAAAGTGGTTTCTTTCCCCTGTGGTCTCTCCTTCTGTACTTGATTCCATCTGATGCTCCGTTCTCTGTCCCTATAGATCAGAACTGCCCCATCCCTCTAGATATACCTGCCCCTTGACCTATTCAGGTTCCATCCCATTTCCTGTACTTGGAACACCTAATTAGGAGATGGAAAAATCTGGGCTGCTCCTCCTTTGCATCTGGGGTGCGGGATACTGCACAGAGCCCTCTGTACTTGTTCAAATAGTCTGGTTGTCTATTTGAAATAGGAAAAATGGCCACATGCAGTGGCTGCCTGTAATCCCATCACTTTGAGAGGCTGAGGCAAGAGGAACACTTGAGGTCGGGGGTTTGAGACCAGCCTGGCCAACATGATAAAACCCTGTTTTTACTAAAAATACAAAAAGTAGTCGGGCGTGGTGGCGGGTGCCTGTAGTCAGGAGACTGAGGCAAGAGAATCTCTTCAACATGGGAGAAAGAGGTGAGCTGAAATCATGCTGAATCTATACGTTGGATTTGTTGAATATGTGCCTATAAATAGAATTCATAGGTCATTCAGTTTGACAAATTTCATAGGATACATTATAAGAGATGTAAACCTGCCTCCTTCCCACATTATCATACTGACTTTTAAAAATCTCTTCCATTTTTGCTGCACAATTGCAATTTTTCCCAAAGTTGAAGATAGGGTACTTTTTTTTTTTTTTTGAGACCGAGTCTTGCTCTGTCATCAGACTGGAGAGCAATGGCACGATCTTGGCTCACTGCAACCTCTGCCTCCCAGGTTCAATTGATTCTCCTACCTCAGTCTCCCGAGTAGTTGTGACTACAAGCACGCACTACCATGCCCGGCTAATTTTTTCATTTTTAGTGGAGACAGGGTTTCATCATGTTGGCCAGTATATTATGGATCTCTTGACTTCGCGATCTGCCTGCCTCTGCCTCCCAAAGTGCTGGGATTACAGGTGTGAGCCACCATGCCCAGGCAAGGATGCAATATTATTAATGCTCTTTATTAAATCAGTTCTTTTCTACTAAGGTCAGAATTTTAACTGATGAACTATAATTATATATTTTTTCACACGGAGTCTTGCTCTGTTGCTCAGGCTGGAGTACAGTGGCATGATCTCTGCTCACTGCTATCTCCTCTTCCTAGATTTAAGTCATTCGACTGCCTCAGCCTTTCCAATAGCTGGGATTACAGGCGCCAAACTCCATGTCCAGCTAATTTTTGTATTTTTAGTAGACAGGGTTTCATCGTGTTGACCAAGCTGGGTTTGTACTCCTGACTTCAGGTGATCCACCTGCCTGAGCCTCCCAAAGTGTTGAGATTACAGGCGTGAGCCACTTCTCCCGGCCTACTGTCACTTATGAACGTATTAATCTTTGTATTTCTGACCACCTCAATATCCACAGTACTCTCTCAGACCCCACACTACTCTCATTATGTAAGGAAAGACACATGCTTATCCATGGGACAGCCTTCTCAGGACACAGCCTAAACCAATGTCTGCTCTGTATGATGGTTGACATGCCACTGTAAATTTTACTTTAAGTTCTGGGGTACATGTGCAGAATGTGCAGGTTTGTTATGTAGGTATACATGTGCCATGGTGATTTGTTGCACCCATCAACCCGTCATCTAGGTTTTAAGCCCTGCATGCATTAGGTGTTTTTCCCAATGTTCTCCCTCCTCTTGCCCCCCACCCCGATAGGCCCTGCTGTATGTTGTTTCTGTCCCTGTGTCCATGTGTTCTAATTGTTCAACTCCCACTTATGAGTCAGAACATGCAGTGTTTGGTTTTCTGTTCCTGTGTTAGTTTGCTGAGCATGATGGCTTTCAGCTTCATCCATGTCCCTACAAAGGACATGATCTCATTCTTTTTTTTTCTTTTCTTTTCGAAATGGAGTTTCGCTCTTGTTGCCCAGGCTGGAGTGCAATGGCATGATCTCGGCTCACCACAACCTCCACCTCCCGGGTTCAAGCGATTCTCCCGCCTCAGCCTCCAAAGTAGCTGGAATTACAGGTATGCACCACCTTGTCTGGCTAATTTTGTATTTTTAGTAGAGAAGGGGTTTCACCATGTTGGTCAGGCTGGTCTCCAACTCCTGACCTCAGGTGATCTGCCCACCTTAGCCTTCCAAAGTGCTGGGATTACAGGTGTGAGCCACTGTGTCCTGCCAGTCTCATTCTTTTTTATGACTACATAGCATTCCATGGAATATATGTGCCACATTTTCTTTAACCAGTCTATCCTTGATGGGCATTTGGGTTGGTTCTAAGTCTTTGTTATTGTAACTATTGCTGCAAGAAATACACATGTGTGTGTGTCTTGATAGTAAAATGATGTATAATCCTTTGGATATATACCCAGCAATGGGATTGCCAGGGCAATACTACATCCACTTTTAAGAACATGTCTGGGTCTGCAGCCCAAGATCAAATCCCACTGACCTCACTTATTTTCAGTGTAAATTGGCGGACCTACTCTATTTATTTGAAAAGCAATAATTTACTCCAAATTTCTTTTGGCAAGTTAGTGTTTGTTGGTAGATGGCTGGGAATACTGCAGAGTTTTTGTGAAGATGGAAAAGTTACTTTAGTTAAGAAAAAAGATTTATCAGTCTCTGTCAGATTTATTAGATGGAGCTTTTCATGTCTTTTTTTTTTTTTTTTTTTTTTTTTTTTGAGACGGAGTCTCGCTCTGTCGCCCAGGCTGGAGTGCAGTGGCGCAATCTCGGCTCACTGCAAGCTCCGCCTCCCGGGTTCACGCCATTCTCCTGCCTCAGCCTCCCGAGTAGCTGGGACTACAGGCGCCCACAACCGCGCCCGGCTAATTTTTTGTATTTTTAGTAGAGACGGGGTTTCACCGTGGTCTCGATCTCCTGACCTTGTGATCCGCCCGCCTCGGCCTCCCAAAGTGCTGGGATTACAGGCGTGAGCCACCGCGCCCGGCTGCTTTTCATGTCTTAACCACCTCAAACTACCGTAAGAAATACTGTAGACTGAGATGCTTAACACCTTAAACTGCAGGAAATAATTTCTCATAAATCTGTAAACAGTGAAGTCCAAGATGCATAAAAACACTTCCCGGGTGGTGCCTTCTTTCTATTTTACCCTAGTCTGCTTTTTTTTTTTTTTTTTTTAATGGAGTTTTGCTAATTTTTGTATTTTTAGTAGAGATGGGGTTTAATAATGTTGGACAGGCTGGTCTCAAACTCCTGACCTCAGATGATTCACCCACCCTGGGCTCACAAATTGCTGAGATTACAGGCCTGAGCCACCGCACCTTGCCCCAGCCAGCTTCTTGCTGTGTCTCATATGTCAGAGTGAAAGGAAGCAAGCACTCTAGTGGTTTTCCTTATACAGGCACTAATCCTGTTCATTAGAGCTTCCTCCTCATGGCCTAATTGTTGCCCAATGTCCCCACTTCCAATAACATAATATTGGGGAATAGGATCTTAGTGGACTAATTTTGGTCAGTGCAAACATTTAGACCATGGGTGCCTTCGTTGTGTTGTATACCTTTTATTTTTCAGTTTGCTCCAAAGAATGTTTTCTCTGACCTTAGTCAATAAATTTCCCAATTCCAAAATTCTTTTCAATTACTAGATAGCCATGTTTCCCTTCTATTGTATGCCCAGGCTTCATGTTGGAAAAATTCTCCTTTTTGGGGAGCTAACCTAACTAATTTTTGCAATGTAAGTGGTTGGTCATAGCTTTCTTTATACTACTGTTCTGCAGTTAGTTTGAATTATGTGCAGTCACCCTTTCTCTACTAGAAAATATCTGTTCCTGGCCGGGTGCGGTGGCTTACATCTGTAATCCCAGCACTTTGGGAAGCCAAGGTGGGCGGATCATGAGGTCAGGAGATCGAGACCATCCTGGCTAACATGGTGAAACCCCGTCTCTACTAGAAATATAAAAAATTAGCCGGGCGTAGTGGCGGGCGCCTGTAGTCCCAGCTACTTGGGAGGCTGAGGCAGGAGAATAGCGTGAACTCGGGAGGCGGAGCTTGCAGTGAGCCGAGATCTGGCCACTGCACTCCAGCCTGGGCGACAGAGCGAGACTCCGTCTCAAAAAGAAAAAGAAAAGAAAATATCTGTTCCTTTTGTTCTCCAAAAAATTAAAAATCATGATTGGGAGTTTTATAATTTCCTTTAACATAAGTATTACTCTTAGTGTAATGTTACATATTTCAAGAGGAGATATTTATTATCTGTAATTAATTGGAAACTGTGGGTTCCTTATGTCTTATAGGTATTTTTTCTAAATATGAGATCAAGGAATTACCAACAAAAAAGGAGAGTAATACAGGAGAAATATTCCAGACAGTAATGTTGGAAAGACATGAAAGCCACGACATAGAAGATTTTTGCTTCAGTGAAACCCAGAAAAATGTACATGACTCTCAATGTCGGTGGAGACATGATGAAAGACATTACAAACGAGTGTGTGTGACCTATAAGGAAAGTCTCATTGGTAGAAGAGACATGCATGGTAGAAAGGATGATGTACAAAACAAGCCTATTAAAAGTCAACTTGGATTAAACTTACAGTCACACCTACCAGAACTGCAGCTATTTCAAGCTGAAAGGAAAATATATAAATATGATCACATGGAAAAATCTGTCAACAGTAGTTCCTTAGTTTCCCCACCCCAAGGTATTTCTTCTACTGTCAAAACCCACGTTTCTCATACACATGCATATAATTTTGTGGATTCATTATTCACACAAAAAGAGAAAGCAAACATTGGGACAGAACACTACAAATGTAATGAGTGTGGCAAGTCCTTTCACCAAGGCTTACATTTTACTATACATCAAATAATCCATGCTGAGGAGAAGCAGCTTAAATGTGATATATGTGGCAAGAGCTTCAATAAAAAATCAAACCTTGCAAGTCATCGAAGAATTCATACTGGAGAGAAGCCATATAAATGTAACGAATGTGGCAAGGTCTTCAATAATATTTCACACCTTGCACAGCATCGCAGGATTCATACTGGAGAGAAACCATATAAATGTAATGAATGTGGCAAGGTCTTTAATCAAATTTCACACCTTGCACAACATCAAAGAATTCATACTGGAGAGAAACCTTATAAATGTAATGAATGTGGAAAGGTATTCCATCAAATTTCACACCTTGCACAACATCGGACAATTCATACTGGAGAAAAACCTTACAAATGTAACAAATGTGGCAAGGTGTTCAGTCGCAATTCCTACCTTATACAACATCTGATCATTCATACTGGAGAGAAACCCTACAAATGTAATGAATGTGGAAAGGTCTTCAATCATATTTCACACCTTGCACAACATCGGAGAATTCACACTGGAGAGAAACCCTACAAATGTAACGAATGTGGCAAAGTCTTCAGTCACAAGTCATCCCTAGCAAATCACTGGAGGATCCATACTGGAGAGAAACCTTACAAATGTAATGAATGTGGCAAGGTCTTCAGTCGCAATTCATACCTTGCCCAACATCTGCTAATTCATACTGGTGAGAAACCTTTTAAGTGTGATGAATGTAACAAAGCATTCAGTCAAAATTCACATCTTGTACAACATCGCAGAATTCATACTGGAGAGAAACCTTACAAATGTAATGAATGTGGCAAAGTCTTCAGTCAAAATTCATACCTTGCATATCATCGGAGAATTCATACTGGAGAAAAGCCTTATAAATGTAATGAATGTGGGAAAGTCTTCAGTCTGAACTCATCCCTAGCACATCATCGGAAAATTCACACTGGAGAGAAACCTTACAAATGTAATGAATGTGGCAAAGCTTTCAGTGTACGTTCAAGCCTTACTAATCATCATGTGACCCATACTGGAGAGAAACCTTTCAAATGTAATGAATGTGGCAAACTCTTCCGCGACAGTTCATATCTTGTTGGTCATCAGAGATTTCATGCTGGAGAGGAATCTAACAAATGTAATTAATGTGGCAGAGGGTTCAGTCAGCATTAAAGCCTTGCAACACATACAATAATTTATACTGGAGAAAAACTTTGCAAGTATAATGAATGTAGCAGAGCCTTTAGTTTTGTTCAAGGCTTAATAACCATTAGCTAGTCCATAGGGGAGAGAAACTTTACTAATGTATTGAATGTGGCAAGGCCTTAAGGTAAAAGTCTGAGATCAGGATTTTTCAAAGAATTCTTGCTGGTGAGAAACCTAACAAATGTAATGAAAGTGGCAAGGTCTTCTGGCACAACTCTCACATTGTACAATATTGCAAAATTTCATACTTGAGAAACAAAAACACTGAGTGGGAAACCATTATGACTTCAAACATTCATCAACATCAGAGAATCCATACTAAAGAGCCTTTATATAATTATATGTGATAGAGATTTTCTGCAGGCCATAGTCTTACTAGGCATCAAAAACTTTTTTGATGAAACCATACAAAGGGAATGTGCACGCTTAGGCTTTTACCCAAGCATTAAAACTGGAACATCACAGGGTTTATACTGGAGAGTAACTACACAAAGATAATGAATGTAATAAGCCTTTCAGTGTAATATTCATTATTTTGTCATGAGAGATCTATTCAATAAAAACCAAGTAAATGTAGTAAATCTGGAAAGGTCACTAGTCTAAGATGCATTCTCATGGTTCATTAAAAATTCAGGCCGGGCGCGGTGGCTCAAGCCTGTAATCCCAGCACTTTGGGAGGCCGAGGCGGGCGGATCACGAGGTCAGGAGATCGAGACCATCCTGGCTAACACGGTGAAACCCCGTCTCTACTAAAAATACAAAAAATTAGCCGGGTGTGGTGGTGGGCGCCTGTAGTCCCAGCTACTCAGAAGGCTGAGACAGGAGAATGGCATGAACCTGGGAGGCGGAGCTTGCAGTGAGCCGAGATTGCACCACTGCACTCCAGCCTGGGCGACAGAGCAAGACTCCGTCTTTTAAGAAATATATATATATATTCATATTGGAGGGCTGGATGCAGTGGCTCATTCCTGTAATCTCAGCACTTTGGGAGGCCAATGCCGAGGCGGGTGGATCATGAGATCAAGAGATTGAGACCATCCTGCCAACCAACATGGTGAAACCCTGTCTCTACTAAAAATACAAAAAATAGCTGGGGGTAGCAGTGCACGCCTGTAGTCCCAGCTGCTCGGGAGGCTGAGACAGGAGAGTTGCTTGAACCTGGCAGGCAGAGGTTGCAGTGAGCCAAGATCGTGCCACTGCACTCCAGCCTGGTCGAGAGAGTGAGACTCTGTCTCAAAAAATAATTCATAGTGGATCCCAGGTGTGGTGGCTCACGCCTGTAATCCCAGCACACTGGGAGGCCGAGTTGGGTGGATCATGAGGTCAGGAGTTTGAGACCGGCTTGACCAACATAGTGAAACCCCATCTCTACTAAAAATACAAAAATTAGCCAGGTGTGGTAGTGGGTGCCTGTAATCCCAGCTATTTGAGAGGCTGAGGCAGGAGAATCACTTGAACCTGGGAGGCAGAGCTTGCAGTGAGGTGAGATCTCACCACTGCACTTCAGCCTGGGCAACAGAGTGAGACTCCATCTCAAAAAAAAAAAAAAAAAATTATAGTGGAACAAACACAAATGTAGTGATATGGTAAATTAACCAATTCACAGACTATAATCCATCTGAGAGCTCATAGGAAGTCTAATTCTCTGCCATTAATCTTTTATATTACATTCTGCAGAATAATTACAATTCAAAGCATGTTAAAAGTCATGACATACATGAAAGACTCAAAGACATTTGGAAATGGCCAGTTACCTTCAGGTCATAAAATAATTGATTACATTATTGAAGGAGAAAGACTTCTTTACCAATGTTAACTTTCAAGCTGACATTAGAAATGTTTTTATGATGTCTTTCTTAGTCATTTCATGATCTATAGGCAAGAATAGGAAAAAATGGCCTACTTCATTAGGTGAGATCATTTCTCTCCACATTCCTGTGAAACAGGGACACTATCTTTTGAAATTAAATATTGGCTGAATATTGGCTAATCCCAGCACTTTGGGAGGCGGACATGGGTGGATCACTTGAGGTCAGGAGTTTGAGAACAGCCTGGCCAGCATGGTGAAACCCCATCTTTACTAAAAATAACAAAAATTAGCCAGACATTGTGGCTGGCACCTGTAATCCCAGCCACTCGGGAGACTGAGGCAGGACAATTGCTTGAATCTAGGAGGCGGAGCTTGCAGTGGGCCGAGATTGCGCCACTGCACTTCAGCCTGGGTGACAGGTGAGACTCCATCTCAAAAAAAAAAAAAAACAAAAAAAAACACACACACAAAGAAAAGGAAACAGAACCAGACGGAGATTGTTGCCTACGTATGTGCTTCTGTGATGCTCCTCAAAAACAACAATGGGCCAGGCATTGTGGCTCACTCCTGTAATTCCAACACTTTGGGAGGCCGAGGCAGGTATATCACCTGAGATCAGGAGTTCGAGACGAGCTTGGGCAAGAAAGTGAAACCGCATCTCTACTAAAAATACAAAAACACGCCAGGCATAGTGACGCACGCTTGTAATCCCAGCTATGAGAGGCTGAGGCAGGAGAATCACTTAAACCCGTGAGGTGGAGGTTGCAGTGAGCCTAGATTGTGCCACTTCACTCCAGCCTGGATGACAGAGTATTTCAAAGAAAAAAAAAAAAAAGGAAAAAAATGGCTGAATTAAGATTTGTAAGGGGCTGAGAATAATGTAAAGCTGTGATATCAGTCATATTATTGCATACAGGGCATTCTTCACAGAGAGGGCCAGTGTGGATTATAGGAAAGAAATGCTCTACTAACCAATCATGAAACAGAGCAATCCAAGACCTCAAGAGACTGCAGTTTTTACTGGAGGAGATTAATACGTTAATAGGAAGTGATTACATGTAAGGTAGAGGTAATGCAGGGGAAATGTTAGCCACATCTCCATTGAATGGCAGTAGCTGTCATGTAGCAAGATTGAGGAAAAATTGATCTTTTTTTTTTTTTTTTTTTTTTTTTTTTTGAGACAGAGTCTTGCTCTGTCGCCCAGGCTGGGGTGCAGTGGCCGGATCTCAGCTCACTGCAAGCTCCACCTCCCGGGTTTAGACCATTCTCCTGCCTCAGCCTCCCGAGTAGTTGGGACTACAGGCGCCCGCCACCTCGCCCGGCTAGTTTTTTGTATTTTTTAGTAGAGACGGGGTTTCACCGTGTTAGCCAGGATGGTCTCGATCTCCTGACCTCGTGATCCGCCCATCTCGGCCTCCCAAAGTGCTGGGATTACAGGCTTGAGCCACTGCGCCCGGCCGGAAAAATTGATCTTAATCTTGAAATTGAAAAGATTAGTTATCACAGAGAAGAGGATTTTTTAGCATTTTTTTCTTTTTTTCTATTTGTAGAGACGAGGTTTCTCTATGTGTCCCAGACTGGTTTTGAACTCCTGAGCTCAAGTGATCCTTCTGCTTGGCCTCCTAAAAGTGTTGGGATTACAGGTGTGAGCCACTGTATCTGGTCCAAAGAGGAGAGTTTAATTATTTAAAAAAAAAAAAAAAAAAAAAAAAAACCACAATAGCATGTTCTTGATTAGGAATCCCATTAAACTGCCAGCATTACATTTCCTATTGTTTGTTTTTTGAGACAATGTCTCACTCTGTCACCCAGGCTGGATTGCAATGGAGCGATCATGACTCACTGCAACCTCCGCCTCCCAGGTTCAAGCAATTCTCCTGCCTCAGCCTCCCTAGTAGATGGGACTACATGCGCACCACCACCATGCCCGGTTAATTTTTGTATTTTTTGGTAGAGATGTGGTTTCACTGTGTTGGCCAGGCTACATTTTCTATTGTTTTATTTAGAATGTATCATAAATTTCATGTGTCAATAAAATTTATTTTTTTATAACTATGAGTTAATTATGTCCCATCTACCTGCATAGCTTTATCTCACCTCTATAGGATCCTTCATGTCTAAACACAAACAATGCCCCATCAGGTTGCTAAGGCTGAAGGATCTACAGTTTTATTTTATGATGGAATTAAACATCATACAATTTGAGAACATACAATCACCCCTTCCACTTCAGTTATCCTCTCTGCAGTCGGCCTTAGGTTACTTATGTGAACATGATGAGAATCCCATAGCAGTGCAGTTTCACACTCTGACAAACCTGCATCCCTATTGATAAGTGTAACTTGTATTCTTCTAAATGTCTTTCTCTTATGTCCCAAATGAACACAAGGCATGCATTTTAATTTACATAAAATAAAAATACACATATAGTAAGGATATAAAAAGTACTGTGAAATAAAAGTAAATGTGGGGAATATGAACAAAAGTAACACCAAAATTGAGCTGGGCGTGGTGGTGTACGATTGTAATCTCAGCTACTCGGGAGACTGAGTAAGGAGAATCGCTTGAACCCAGAGGTGGAGGTTGCAGTGAGCAGAGATCACACTGCTGCACTCTAGCCTGGGTGACAGAGAGAGACTCTGTCTCAGCAAAAGAAAAAAAAAAGATCTCCAGTTGCCTCTATGTTTTTGCAAATGACAGGATACCATACTTTTTGATGGCTGAACATTGGTCCGTTGTGTGTAAGCACCACTTTTTTTTTGTACATTTATCTGTTGCTGGACACTTAGGTTGCTTCCAAATCTTGGCTATTGTGAACAGGAGTGCACACACATGGTAGTGCAGAGATCTTTTTCACATACTGATTTCTTTTATTTTGCATGTATACCCAGCACTAGGCTTGCTGGATGATATGGTAACTCAATGTTTAAGTTTTAAAATAGCTTATTTGCCTTATCTCTTTGCTTTCCCCCTGTTCCTACTAGCCAGACTCCTTTTCCCTAATTAGGACTCCACAATAAATCCAAATATATTCTGAAGACTCTCTATGTTATAGGTTTTCTAACCATACCTGACAGAGAAAACAAAGAAAAGGTATAAAATAACTTATAGGGCCGGGTGCGGTGGCTCACGCCTGTAATCCCAGCACTTTGGGGGGCTGAGGCGGGCGGATCACCAGGTCAGGAGTTAAAGACTAGACTGGCCAATATGGTGAAACCTCATCTCTACTAAAAATACAAAAAAAAGTTAGCTGGGAGTAATGGTGCATGCCTGTAATCCCAGCTACTTGGTAGGCTGAGGCGGGAGAACTGCTTGAACCCAGGAGACGGAGGTTGCAGTGAGGCAAGATAATGCCACTGCACTCCAGCCTGAGTGACAGACTGAAGACTCCGTCTCAAAAAAATAATAAATAATTTTAAAATACCTTATAATTGGCTGGGCAAGGTGGCTCATGCCTGTAATCTCAGCACTTTGGGAGGCCGAGGCAGGCAGATCACTTGAGGACCGGAGTTTGAGACCAGCCTGGCCAACATAGCGAAATGGCATTTCTACTAAAAATACAAAAATTAGCCAGGCGTGGTGGCGCACACCTGTAATCCCAGCTACTCAGGAGGTTGGGGTAGGAAAATTGCTTGAACCTGGGAGGCGGAGGTTGCAGTGAGTCAGGATCACACCACTGCACTCCAGCCTGGGTGACACAGTGAGACTGTCTCAAAACAAAACCCTTACAATTTGACAATAAAAAGTATCTTTTCTAGTTATTTTCAGAATGCACGTA